TGCCGCCCTTCTTTCAAATATCAAATAACTCTATCCATTATGAGAAGTGGTCACAAAGACCCTGAAAAGTATACTATGAAAAATATTTAAAATATTATTTAGGTTTTTAAACTTAAAGATTTTAAGTTTGTTTCTAAATTCCCATAAATTTCTCTGTTTTGTGAACTTCTATTTGATTTCTGTTGATTTTTAATCAACTGCTTGCCGCTTGGCAGCACGTTCCACCCGGAATTCCTTTAAGTGGGTGTGGCAGGATCGTAAAAACTGATTTTAATGTCTAGCCAAAAACTATGGGGCTGATCCCGGGGTTGGGCCCAGCTCGCCCAAGTGCAACTACTCTTCGTCTTTGTCTTTTACAACCTTTTGTCAGTCGTTAATTTTTATGTTTATAGCGCAAATTCTCGCCTTGCTGCACACACGTTCTCTGAATTTTGAAAACCGCAAAATGGTGCGGCTATTGGTGGTGAGTGGGTGTGGGTGGGGCGGGGTGGTGTGGTGAGGCATTGACGTCGTTCAAGGTAGTTAAAACAATAACAATTAGCTGCAAGCCAAGTCGTTGGCCACACGCAGAAATTAATTAGCGACCGAAAATGCGAACATTTCGTGGTTAGGTCGAGTCCGGTTAGAAAAGTGAGGTTAGAGTCCTGTCGGAGAGTGAGGTTAGGTTGCGCCCATAACAACACAAAGTGCAACAACCAAATCGGAAAAATTAAAGTTAAATTATTGTGTGCTGACTGGACTGAAGACGACAGGAGTCTGAGTGGAAATCTAATCAAACTAGTGAAAACTTTCGACCGGAAAAATTGCACATCGAAAGTTTGTCCGCCTCTTCAGACAAAACTTTTTCTCGCTCTAGCCCCCTCTCTTTCTCTTTCTACTCCTTAGTGGCTGTCTCTTTCCTGGGCGAAATAATTGCCAAAATGGAAAGCCAAAACTTAAACAAAAACGCAGACGTTAATGAAATTTTGATAAACTTTTTTCCGTCCAACTCAAATGCAACAATGAAATCAGCAACAGAGACAAATACACAGGGCTTGCCAAGAAGCGAAAGAGAAAGGACGATTTAGTGCAATATTTGGGCAGACAAATCAAAGCAAATTATGATTTATTGAATTTTAATTTAGTGCCAGTGGCAGTGCAGTGAGGTTTTCCCATAAATATTTGAGGAAGCGCAGTCCGCAGACAAAAACTGAATCAGAATTTACGCTGATTGCAAAGTTTGTGGGCTGAAATAATTTGCAACCCTAAGGGATAAGACCGGGGTACAGTTTCGTCCTTCAGCTTTTTGGCTCTGCGCGTGCCTGGCTCACGCATTATTCAGAAGTTCAGGATGCGGGCAGGGGAGCAGCTGCCAGGAGTCGGATTCTGAATCAGATCTTGGGTGTGGGCTAGCACAAGTCCTTGCCAAATGTGCGTGTGCGTATGCAAATTGCCGGCCACATGTCATTTCTGACCATTTCCGCTTAAGGGCCTGCGTCGCAAAAGCTCAAAGAGCTGAAAAACAAAAGAATATTCCAGCATCTGGAGCCGAAGGATCTAATACACTGAGGTCTTTGAATTATATTCTAAGCATGCATGGGTAGCTTTAAGTAGTTATCTAGGTATCTGGAAAGTTTTAAATATTATCATTAGTTTTCAATATTTTTAAAAAATTTAAAAAACAATCTTTATAGAATATATAACAAATGTTCAAAAATAGTATTATCCTTAGAAAGAGTATTAAAAACAACAATTATAATAGCAACCCCCTGGTGATATCGGGGTAGCTCGGATGGGGTGTCTTATGCGATTTGCAAACTTTTATTTTCTGTTTTTTTCGCAACTTGTTTTTACCCACTGACCTTGAAAAGTGAATGCATGCAAATTGAGCAGCTGAAAAATCAACAGCCCAAGGGGTGGTTCAGGATCAGGTTGCAAAAAGCATCAAATAATGAAGGGCCATCCCCCTGAGTAAACCTCAGCGAAATATTGCGAAATTTCATTATTTTTTGCGCAAAGGGAGAAAAACACAACAAAGGGCTGGAATAGCTCGCTTATCACCGACTGACTACTCTCGGTTCTTATCGCGTCACATGGAAATCCATTAGTCAAACCCCTGTTTTCCAACCAAACACATTTGTTTGCATGTAAACCTGTTACCTCAGCACTCGATTGCCTGGCTAATCGAGCAGTCCCCCAGGAAATTTATCCCCCCGTCTCCCTGCTTGATGTTATTGCACAAATTGCTTCAAGAGCTATCGATTTCAACTCTTGCCCTGGCAAGGGAAATGGCTCTATTAGGAACAATCTGATGATCTGGTATAATACCCACATTCTGGAATGATTGGATTTTAATTAAAAGGTTGGTATAATATTAGTTACTTGAGTATTGAAGCCACTGAAGTGGTTTAAAAGTGGTTTGTATAAGTTATTCTGTTAATTACTAGCTATTAAATTGGCTTCTTAAAAGTTATGGAACTAATCAAGGCGAATATGGCACAGTTTTTAGTTAACAAATAATATTGATTAATTAATTCTTTGAACTACCCGTAAGCCGTGTGCAGAAACAATATTTAACTTTAGTTGATAAGACACCAGCACTCTGATAGATGATTAGATTACGGAATCAATTAAATCACTTTTAATAACAATTCTAACTAATACCAGAAACAATTAGTCAACAATAAGCTTTATAGCTCTTCAAGCCTTAGTGATAAAAATAAAAGGTTTTGTTTGTAAAACAAGTATTCCTTTGCTCTTCACTTTTCCTCCATGCACCATGCAAAAATTTGTTAATGAAAAATCGCAAATAATTTCTTGGCCCGTCTGCCTGCCACCGAAAACAAGGCGAAAAACAAAAAGCCAGGAGACGAGACTTTTCATTAAAATTTCACAGGAGCTGGAGTGAGGCGAGTGAGAAGATTTTTGGTGGCAGGGAATGGGTGGGAGTTGCAAGGATTATTTATGGGGAGCCTGGCTGGAGCTGTCGGCGCAGCTGCCTTTCACTGGCTGCAAATGGCATTGCAATAAAACGAAATTAAATTGCTATTTTGCATACATATTATGTGTTCCCCGCATGTCCTGGACACACGAACGCACAACTGCTTTTCATATTCATAGTGTCTGGATGTCGAATAATAACCGACATATCCCAAATCCTTTGACAACATCTGGCCATTCGAATAGTTTTTAACCCCCACAACCTATGCCTCAGCCTCAACCTCAACCCTTTGTAATTGCTTTACGTTTTTATTAAAATGCATAAATTAATACAAAATTTTGGGCTAAAGACACACCTTTTATGGGCTCCATTTCAGGGCATATGTGAAATGGCACAGCAAACCTGTTTCCGAGAACAATTAGAAATATAAAAGTTAAGTTCTTTGGCAAATGTACCACAAATTACCCAAATTAGCTACCCTCTAATATTTTATATAGCTTTCGGGGTTTAAGAAATATCATTGAGGCAGTATTCATCCGCAAATCAAGGCAATTAATATTAAGTGGATTATTATTTAATGACCATTGCACGCACTTGGAGACACAGGACGAGGACCAGGACCCTTCTGGGGCCACCACATCAGCTTCAATCTCATTCCGCACTAACTGTTATGATCCCAAATGGCCGTCATATTCTAATTACACGAGAGCACGCAGTTATTACATGGATCCGCTTTCTATTTCTCCTGATGATACGGATGCTGCGATTTGATGACCCCTGACCCTCTCCCATCCGCTGAGTAGTTATAGCGGCATTAAAATGGCAAATTGACGTTCATTTCACGTGCTAGTGGACCGTATCCGGATGTTCGGCGATATGAGCCGAGTCCTCATTGAATGGGCGTCGCTAATTGATAAATTGCTCTGATGCGTGGCCCGGATCCATACTGCAAATATAATCCCATATTCATACAGACATAGAGAGTTATTTATGTTCCATAGAATTTTTTCTTTGAATTTATTTTTCAATTAAGAGTACTACTTTAAAACAGCTTGTTTAAAACTTGTTTAAAATATATGCTTTATATATGGAAACTTTTTGTAAAATTTATTTTTTAATATTTCAAAAAATAATTAAATCTGCAAAATAAACATCTGCCTTTTGAAAGTAAATCCTATCTTTACATAACACCAAAATAATATTGATAAGGAAACTGCGATGCAGACTGAGAGTACAATAAAAAGCATCTGAGCTGCTCAGAGATTGCATCGCCGTACGTAACGATGTGACATTCCGGTCATCAAAAGGCGACATCCACGTCATTTCGTCGGAGGTTTCCGGCTTAGTCAGCAGGCGGCCAAGATGGCGCTCGGACCCCACTCAGCCGGAACTTTTCCGGACGACCCAAGCGAAAGCCGTGTGCAGCAGACAGTGATAAGTAAGGAGGCAGAGGGAGTGATTTTGTTCCGTTGTGTCATGGAATCTATTGTGGCATCGCCAAACAACGTGGCCATTTTTATCAGGCAGAAGAGCGTGTCATTGATAAGATAGTCGGCTCCTTTAAGCTTCAAAGATTTCTTAAGAGATTACTTTGTAGACTGAATGATTTCTTCAACGCTATAGGGTATCGGGTGGATAATTATTGGTGTCTAACAAAAGCCTTTACTATTGATGGGTGAATCCTCTTCTTGGGGAAACCCTATTTATAAAAAATAATGTATATTCCAAAATAGTTATAGATTTCGTTTACATATTATTTCTTAGTGATTCCTCAGTTTTTAAAATTTAAGAACTACGGATGATCTAGGAGATGAGTAATAAGATGATAAAATATGTACATTTGGAAACCACTAGAACGCATCTACATACAATAAGTACTTTTGTAAATGCAAAACTGCATGTTTTGATGGAATTTACACGATTGTAAGTGACATTGTTTCATCTGGTATCCAAAGTCCACTTCCCGCTGGACTTCTATCAGCATTCATTCGGCTGAAAGAAAAAAAACTCAACCAAACGCCCCTCCATGTGGACTTAGTGAAGACCCAAGCCCAATCCTTATCTCAGAAACAATTTGCTGTTTTCTAGTTGATATTTAGTTACTTTGTTGTGTTTATTTGTTCACGCGGTAACATACATGGCTAAAGATACATTTGTTGGGGCGAACTTGCTAACTTAATAATGATAACATTATCACAATCTCGGGTGTGCTGGCGTGCTGGTAAATCAAGGTGAATGTTGGGTAGGATTGTATGTATAAATCATTCAAATATTGCTTTGATAATGCTGCTGCTGCACTGCGATTTATTGGTGAACAAACCAAGGAAACAAATCAAATTTAAACGTTATCTTCGGGATGATGAGAGCAATTTTGAGGGAAAGGAAGATAGTGTGTTGGAGGGGGAGAAGACTCCTCAGTAACGTCTTACTGCTTCTGCAGGTACTCGTCGAACAGGTAGACGGACAGGGATGGGTCCGGCACCTTCATGAGCTTAGCCAGGTCGTTGGCATAGCCGGACAGCTTGCGCACGGTCTCGGCCTGCTTGCCCAGGAAGTTCTCCTCGATGTAGTGGGCCAGCTCGGGGTCGCGCTCGGTGGCGTGGGTGGCACGGGTGTGGACATGGGTGGCTCCAGCGGCCAGCTGCTTCTCGTTATCCAGAGCCAAAGCCAGGGAGTGGAGTTCGTCGACCTCCAGGGTGCTGCGCTGGGTGCTCACGGAAGCGGGCGACTCATGACGGGTGTTGAAGTCCACGATTCCACCGCGACGGGTGATCTGCTTGATCAGGGCGATGGTGTCGTCGAAAGAGCGGTCGGAGAGACCCTGGTACAGCTTCTGGAAGCCGGGGCGGTTCTTCTGGTAAGAGTTGAAGTGGGTGGCCAGCAACAGGTAGTCATAGGACTTGGTCAGCTGCGAGTTGATGTAGGCCTGGACCTCGGGCTCAATATGGTCGATGCCAGCGAAACGGGCATTACAGATAGAGTTTGCTATGAGTAAGGAAAATATAAACAAAACAAGCGTTAAAATAATTGGTCATTTAAGCCATTTCAACTGGTAGGCCCTAAGAATTGTGTTTGTGTTTTAGTTTTGAAACAAAAAACCATCGATTTTATTCAAGTTACGTCGTCTAATTACTTACATTCGCCTGAGAAAAAGCCTGTGAGTGCTTGTTTATTATTTTACAAAGAAAAGCAACAACGACAATACGCAAACACAAATTAAACTCTCTTCGCACATGCTCTCACCTGCGGGTGAGCGGAGTGTGCTACTTACCTGAGAAGGTCGACGAAGAGCAGGCGGTGAGCACGCTGTTCTGGCAGTACTCTTCCTCCTTGGCCAGAGCCAGAGAGCTGAGGCTAGCAACTAGAGCGATTGCAATGAAAAATTTCATCTTTGCTTCAGATTACTGTAAATAATGTGGAAATCGAAAAAGGGGAATTAATTTCACAATATTTAACAAAGACAGAAAGGTCGCAGGCTGTTTTTGTTTTCAGTATTCCCCCTTTTGCGTCGTAGAGGCTTCTTGAATTTTCTTCGCCTCCCACAGTGCCACTCTCGCTCTCTCTTTGTTTTTCACAACAAACAACCCCCATCGGAATGTTTTCACGGAATTTGTTTTTCTTTTAGAAAATTTTAGCCCATATTAGGGAATTTCTTTTTGCGAATTTCTTGAACGCGACAAAACACTTACTAACTAGCTAGTAATTGATTAAACTCACTTTAATTGTGTTCAATGAGTTCGATCTTTGTCGTTAGCGCTGTTTTGTGTGCTGCTTGTTGGAAATCAAAAACGCAACTGCTGTTTATAGCGTCGCGTTCGACTCTTTCTATGCACATACACGCCATGTGTGTGCGTCGTGTGTGTGTGTGTGTGTCAAAGAGAGCTCTGGTTTTGCGCTCAGTACATGTCCGCTTTGGGGCAATATGGCCGCTATGGCCGCCTTACTGGGGCTCCCATATTGTGAGTCACGTGCAGGGTTGTCAACGTGTGCAACATGGTCATTGGACTGTGGATGCACTTTGTATCTGCGTTTCAAGGGAATTACTGAGATTGATATCTGTTAATATGGGTCTTGAATAAAAAAGTATTGATTTAAGACGTATTAATGTATACCACATTTTAAGAAAACCCTCAGAGATACCATCTTATGCAACCTTATCACCATTGTAAGAAAATTCCATGCTAGTTAACACATAGTTGCCAGCATTGGTCTCCCTTATCAAGTGTCATTTGTAGCTTATAATGATTGGCACCCGAAAAGAACCGTCATCATATTTAGTAGTTATCATTGATCATTGATTGATCCCTTGACCGAACGTGACAAATCAAAATTGTAAGACCGGAATTAAATTGTCAAGTCCGAATTAGAAAGAAATTAAAGCGCCTGGCAACCCATGACGTGTTGCTTCAAATTCCTCTCTTGCTCACAATCAAAACAAAAACAAAGAACAGCTGACGCAGAGATCAGCGGCCATGTTTGTTTTCGTTGGTATTATCTGCGACTAGAAACCCGAGATTTCGAGTATCCAAGCGTTATTGAGGACGTGTGTATTAAATTAAGTACGCCTTTCATCGGGAATATTCAATTATCAGCCATTAGCACACAAAGCAGCGGCGACATGTTGAAAAGATAAGAGTGCACACTCTCCCACTTACGCACACACACACAGACATACCCGGAGGGGCGGACGAGAGCGAGAACGTTTAAAAGTGTTTTGTTCGCCACTTGGAGCACAGTTCGAATTCACATTCAGCAAACGAACAACGGCAAGCGCTACGGAAGATTAAACCTGTCAAGAAGGTACTGGAAATCTGAGTAATCCCAATCAAAGCCCATCAAACGAAATTGAAGCAGGCCTTCGCCTTCTATGCCAGTGTGTGTAAAGGCTGCCTTCCCACCAATTCGAAAAATAGATAGAGAGAAAGCAGTGCGGTGCGCCTATTTAACATTGTCGCTCAACATTGTGTCGCCTCATTCTCATTTGTGCATTTCGAACACAAGCATTATTGCAAACAACTAAACTCAAGTGAAAATTTGTTCTGTGATTTTGTGTAAAGACTCCCCCCGACGATCAAAGATGGTGAAATTATTCGCAAGCCTGATGCTCCTGGCCGTGGTGGCCCAAGCCTATGGAGACTTCAAGTGTAAGTACTATTATTTGATAAATTTTAAACAAAACAAAGGCAGGTCAGCGGAAAAAAACAATAAATTTCGACGCAATACACAGAGAGACCTCCAGAGAAACCCCTGGAGAGACCGCAGAGCATGCGCCTTTGTCTGACCTCCTCTCTTTAGTCTTCTCTTTGCTGCAGCAGTCAAACCTGAAATTTCACAATTTATTATTACAATTAATTCTCGGTTTTGCTTCCGATACGCTTTGGGGAAATGATAACCGGTCTTTCAATATCAGTTATTTATAAAACCCTTTCCATAAATTGCATAAATAATGGCAGTTTCGCTTTCATTTGAAATTTTAACGGTTTATTTGAAACTCTTAACTTTGCACACGGCTTGGGGCTTGGGGCTTGTGGTGGTGGAGCATGGTTTTGCACACGACCCGACACCAAAACAAATGCCGTTGCTATGGCGGCGAGAGAGCTGCGCACGGTACCAAAAGTGCATTTCAAAGAGAGCCACAGCTGGCAGCTGCAGTTTGCACACGATTCTAGAAAACAACGGAATTTTAAGCACGACTTCTGGCTATTACAATGGTTTACGCAATAGATGTAACCCCCAACCTACCCTCCCTCAGCCAAGCCAGAAAGCAAGAGTGTGTCAAGAGAGCTGAAGAACGAGGCCTCCCGGCAAAGTCAAAGCCCAAACCGAAACCAAAACAAAAACCACAACCATGGTGAAGGTCAAGATCAGGGTTGCAAAGGTTTCCAATGAATATTGGAACTAGCCAAAGTCAAGCTTCTCCAAATAAAACTTTGTTTTTAAAAAAAGCGCCAGATATTCAATACATTTCCAACTTTTGATCCAATAACCCCTAAGACTAAAATCTAGATCATGGTCGCCGGACCGGTTTGAAATTGGAGAAGTTAGGTTTATTTTTAAGAACTACCAATTCAAATAACAACCCTTTCTAAACCAACTCTTTATTGAACACTTCTTACAGGCTCTCTTGAAGTCCCCGAGATTCCGAAGGGATGGATCGACATGAACCAGAAGTGCATCAACAAGATGCGCCACCAAATCCAGGAGGAGATCAACGCCTCGTACCAGTACCTTGCCATGGGTGCCTACTTCGCCCGTGACACCGTCAACCGCCCTGGATTCGCCGAGCACTTCTTCAACGCCGCCAAGGAGGAGCGCGAGCATGGTTCCAAGCTCATCGAGTACCTGTCCATGCGTGGCCAGTTGACCGACAGCATTACTAACCTTATTACCGTGCCGGTAAGTTTAACTTTGAACCCTTTTGAATTTCAAGCGACTAATCCCTTGGAATTCCTTAACCCACCTCCGTAGACTGTTGCCAAGCAGGAGTGGAACAATGGTGCCGCTGCCCTGGAGGAAGCCCTCGAGTTGGAGACCAAGGTTACCCGCTCCATCCGCGACGTGATCAAGACCTGCGAGGCCAGCAAGGACAACGACTACCACCTGGTGGACTACCTGACCGGTGTCTATCTGGAGGAGCAGCTCCACGGACAGCGCGAGCTGGCTGGCAAGCTGACCACCCTCAAGAAGATGCTCTCCACCCACGGCGAGTTGGGCGAGTTCCTGTTCGACAAGAACCTGTAAGGAGACAAAGATGATGAAGCAGTCCAGCTACACCTCAAAATTGTCAGCCAGTCGACATCGTATAGTGTTCTGTTATCTGTTATCCGAGAGCCTACTCCCGAGGTTACCCGTCATCCAACCATTATCACGCTGAAAAGTTCCTCTTTTCAATTCTTCTTGACTGGCCAATAAATTATCTGTACAACTCCAGCACACAGCAAAATCGAACGCCCTCTGTTCTTATTCTTATCATCGCACGCGAAGAGTATTATCAATTCGAGTTTTGAGTTTCCAAAGACCTCGGGAGGGGGTTCCTCCTTATGCAATCGCCGAGATTTCGCCTAGTTTTAAGTGGCGCGCGCCGAAAGGGATCATTCGCATAGGAAGACATTCAAGCACAACCCATATACACATCCTATATCTTTATACTTTTTCTGTCAATTAGACGAGCAAGTTCTTAAATAAATAAACAATAAATGTAAACTATAAATCAAAATCTTGTGGTTTTTTATTGAACTTTTGGGATTTTCAGATGGGTATTACTTGGGGGTTTATACACTTGCAAGGGGTATTTTAGTTTTCGCAGTGCCTTCACTTCGCAGACATTCTACTTGCTTGCAGCATATATGTCGGAGCATATATTTCGTGTTATAAGAAATAGATTTAACAATTAAATTCTCATGAGGATCGCCCAACTATATCAATGTTGTGTTTTATTCCTGATTTAAATCAGGTATTTATAGCAGGTCTTATCTCATAAAAGCTCGGAATAACGCCGTCTGGTTGGAATTCTTGGAAATATATATATTATTTTGTTTAATGAGTGATTAAACCACTCGCATTCATTTTTTCCTCGCGAACAAACAGAATCTCTTATTTAGTCAGGAGATCAGTCTATTTCCAAGCCTGGAGTGGGAAAGATGCATCATCTGCGTTCCCTTATTGTCAGCTTCGGCTTATTTCTCTGTAAGTATATTAACAATAAGCCAAGAGCCAATCAATTAGTGGTAAAAATAAAGGGAGCACAATACAAACTAGTGAAAATGGAAAGCAGAGTTCGACCACAATTGACAGAATGCACGATAAATTAGACATTTTCTATTCTAGTTATGGGAACTGCACAAGCTCACTGTGAAATCGATAAACAGATCCTGCAATCCGGCTTTATATTGTACTACCAGGATGCGAGGAATGAATATCATCTCCAGCTTTCCAACATAGTGGCTCTCAACAATGTAGTGCATTTGGGTTGCGGCAGTCAGCCAATTCTTACACTTACCTGTCAATTTGACTCAAGGAGGAATACATATAGATTCGACAATTCATATTCAAGCAGAACTTGTAATGCTAATCAATTAACTGTAGTTCCTGGTAATTCAGTTGCACGAGGGGCTTGCACCATGCACCATATAGGATTTAACTTCAACCCAAACAATAGATTCCAAACTAAATTTTTACAGCTTTACCGATCCTGCTATAATGGCAATTGGAAAACCCCCCATTTCACCATTCACGATATAATTCACAGCTCAGAAAGTAAGTAAATGAGTAAAGTAAGTAAATATTAACTACTATAAATTGTTTATTCTTACCATTTAGCTGCTACTCGGAACAATAATTTCTCACCGGACGGTCTGACTCCAGCTCAATTTGCTGCATTTTCATGTCGCGGTGTTTTTAATGCCTTTGAACGGGAACTGGGAGCGGGCCAGCCATATGTAACGAGCAATCAGTGTTCCATCCAACGAGGACATTTAGTTCCGAACAACGACTTCTCTTTTCACATGCTACAAAAAGCTACATTTAAAACAATGAATTATGTCGCGCAAAGTCAGAATCGAAATCAAGGTAGCTGGAAGATTGTCGAAAATTGGGCACGAAGTCTTGCCGCACAGAACCCAACTAGAACTTTAAGGGTTTGCACTGGAACACTTGATGTATTGCAATTGCCGAGCACCAGCAATGTTATGACACAAGTTTTCTTATGGCGAGATACAGCTCCCAGAATCCCAATTCCCCAGTGGATGTATAAAATTGTTGATCACAAATATGTCTTCCTAACCTACAACAATCAATTCGCTACATCTTCTCCGAATCCTCAAAATTTTAACATTTGCAATCAAGTTAGATGTCCTTCTGGTCTAAATCTAGGCAATAGGCCTTTTACTTTTTGCTGTGATCATACACATTTTATAAGCCAAGTAGTTCCCTACTTGACTGGTATTTGCTAAAGGAACTTGAACTAAACATTTAATCGGTCGCCCTGTACAATTCAATAACTCTCAAAAGTTTTGTAATGGATCAGTTTTATAAAAATAGTCTTTTCATGAAATATATAGGAAACTTGGATTATGTATAATAAGATGGATCAGCTTTACATTTAAAAGTGGGATTGGGAATAAAATAAAGTATCATATGATATCAAAATTTATGTTCCTTTTACAAATATGTATCATCTTAAGCCTAATTCGTCCGGTCGGCATAGGAAATTGTCTGCTAAGAAGATAATGTGGTAAGCCCTACTTCTAGCCGATTAACCCTTTCGGTCCCCTGACAATGCACTTGATGAGCCATATCTGGGATCACGTTCCGCTTGTCTATCAGTGGGCAGTGTCTAATGGTTCATTCGAATCGCAAATTCTGTTTGATAAACGCCGGCGTCTTCGTCTCGAGTCGCATTATTGACCCTTTCATGTTGTTGACTACCCCATCTATCCTTTATCGTACACCCCCTTCCAAGGACTAATCTGATTTGAAAACACAAAAAGCCAACCAAAAATCTAGCGAGTGAAGCGAAACGCAGAGGAAAGTTCTTGGATTTTCAGATGGACAGAGCGAAGTACAAAGAATAATTCATAAGTCACTTGTAAAAGTGTCAACCAATGCACCGGAAGAAACTTAAAATTGTCTCATAAAATAGAGCCTCTCTAATTGAATATATCTATGTATAGATTTGACGCATTAAGATCCTTGGTAAGCGAAGAATTTCGACAGTTTTCTTTAAATTTTATATTTATATATTATAGTTTATAGTTTTTAATTTTTATATTTACTTGTAGTTAGTTTTTAAGTGCAATCATCCTTATAGGCCACCCTCCAGCCCGAGGCTAATGTGTGTGCCCCTTTCACCCTTTCGATGGTCATGTCGATGTCGAATTTAGTGATTGACAGGACATGCCATGCATTGAATTATGATAAATTGTGGCAACTGGCAAAAGGACTACGACGCCGTTTCCTGTACCGCCTGGGTCCTGCCATCGGAGATCTTCTCCCCCCGGAGCGTGACCAGGGTGAATGGGTTAGTGTTTGGCATTTTAAACAATTTCATAAGCTAATATTTGAGCAGATGTCCTTGTTCGTTGCGGGTTTAAAATTGCATCAATCCGCACGGACAATGGGCTGCAAATTTTTTTCGATAAGCACCGCAAATATTTAAGCGAAATTTTTTGATTGGGGGTGGGTGCGGATGTCCATGTGTCCGGCATACAAATGGACCATGACATTTGGACCGACTATCAATCTTGGCTAACCGAGGAAAACTTTTGTTCATGGCTATCGACCAATTTGCCAATGATTTTTATTGCTTTTTTTATGAATGTTATTATTTCCCATTTTTTTTTTTTGAGAAAAAGAGAGTCTAGAGATAGCTATGGTAGTGAAATATTTCGAAAGCGAGACGTGCGAGTGATTCATCCTGCGCATATCTTTCAGATAATAGTTCCTGCACGCTTATCTCGCTGACAGTTGTCCTGCTACTCATTCGTTGACAAATTTGCGACGCCAGTCAGGACAATGGGCATGAAATGGAAATCTCAAATTGGCCGATGTAACACGAGTGTCCTGGGTAGGCCTGCCTGCCCTAGGATCCCGGAATCAAACCGAACCTAACTATGAAACTAACCATGTCCAAACCGGTTCTCAGTTCAAGTGGCTGCAGCCAGCGCTGCAGGATATTCGTCGCCTGCCGCCAGGATATGATTTATGTCCACATGGTTCCTTTGTCTTTCACTCATTTACCCTTTCCCTCCGCCGATTTTCTACTTTCTCCGCTTGTTTGCTGTTCTCACCATAAATCTCTGGATGGCCATTGAGAAGTGACAGGCGTAGCCTCCGGGAAATCCTTTTCAACCGGTTGGAAGGGCCTGAAAAGGTAACTAACTTCTGAAATTTTTTGGAATTAACAATAAATGTTTTTAGTGGTTGAGTTTGGTATTTTACTAAATTATCTTAAGTTTGCCTGAAGAGTTTATGATAGAATCCCTTGAAAATGGGGTTTTCCCCTATGGGGTCCACAGTGATGCAAAGTTACGGTGACATCGTTCATAATTTGATTAAATCCAGCTGCACTCGCCACAATGAAGAAAGCCATGCCACCTAGTGGTTGATGGTCAATATTTGGCTTGGATATTGAAAAGGATACCTTTTATGGGGGTTTTAAAATACAATTAATTTTAATTGAAAAATGTATTCCATACAAAATAGTGCAACAGGAATTACTTAATTATTCATAGAACTGATCCAAGTTCTGTAGATTTTTTCCCCAACTTCTTACTTTGTTACTTCCTCAACTCTCATCCGATTCTCAAACGGAGTACCTTAAACGATTTCTGGATCGATTCCCCGCCATTCTGCATCAAAATCCTGAGACAAAATATTTTTTAGATTTTTTGTCCATTTTTCGTGATGATTCCTTGAAAATGGGGTTTTCCCCTATAGGGTCGAGAGTGATGGCTATATCTTCCCCAATTCTCATCCGATTCTCAAGCGGAGAACCTTAAACGATTTCTGGATCGATTCTCCGCCATTCTGCATCAAAATCCTGAGACAAAATATTTTTTTAGATTTTTTGTCCATTTTTCATGATGATGCCTTGAAAATGGGGTTTTCCCCTATGGGGTCCACAGTGATGCCTATATCTTCCCCAATTCTCATCCGATTCTCAAGCGGAGTACCTTAAACGATTTCTGGATCGATGCTCCGCCATTCTGCATCAAAATCCTGATACAAAATTTTTGTTAGATTTTTTGTCCATTTTTCGTGATGTGATCCCTTAAAAATGGGGTTTTCCTCTATGGGGTCCAGAGTGATGGCTATATCTTCGCCAATTCTCATCCGATTCTCAAGCTGAGTACCTTAAATGATTTCTGAATCAATTCTCCGCCATTCTGCATCAAAATCCTGTTACAAAATATTTTTTAGATTTTTTGTCCATTTTTTGTGATGATCCCTTGAAAATGGGGTTTTCCCCTATGGGGTCCACAGTGATGCCTATATCTTCCCCAATTCTCATTCGATTCTCAAGCGGAGTACCTTAAACGATTTCTGGATCGATGCTCCGCTATTCTGCATCAAAATCCTGAGACAAAATATTTTTTAGATTTTTTGTCCATTTTTTGTGATGATCCCTTGAAAATGGGGTCTTCCCCTATGGGGTCCACAGTGATGCCTATATCTTCCCCAATTCTCATCCGATTCTCAAGCGGAGTACCTTAAACGATTTCTGGATCGATTCTCCGACATTCTGCATCAAAATCCTGAGACAAAATATTTTATAGATTTTTTGTCCATTTTTCGTGATGTGATCCCTTGAAAATGGGGTTTTCCCCTATGGGGTCCACAGTGATGCCTATATCTTCCCCAATTCTCATCCGATTCTCAAGCGGAGTACCTTAAACGATTTCTGGATCGATTCTCCGACATTCTGCATCAAAATCCTGAGACAAAATATTTTATAGATTTTTTGTCCATTTTTCCTATTGGGATCCCTTGAAAATGGGGTTTTCCCCTATGGGGTCCACAGTGATGCCTATATCTTCCCCAATTCTCATTCGATTCTCAAGCGGAGTACCTTAAACGATTTCTGGATCGATGCTCCGCTATTCTGCATCAAAATCCTGAGACAAAATATTTTTTAGATTTTTTGTCCATTTTTCATGATGATGCCTTGAAAATGGGGTTTTCCCCTATGGGGTCCACAGTGATGCCTATATCTTCCCCAATTCTCATCCGATTCTCAAGCGGAGTACCTTAAACGATTTCTGGATCGATGCTCCGCGATTCTGCATCAAAATCCTGATACAAAATTTTTGTTAGATTTTTTGTCCATTTTTCGTGATGTGATCCCTTGAAAATGGGGTTTTCCCCTATGGGGTCCACAGTGATGCCTATATCTTCCCCAATTCTCATCCGATTCTCAAGCGGAGTACCTTAAACGATTTCTGGATCGATTCTCCGACATTCTGCATCAAAATCCTGAGACAAAATATTTTATAGATTTTTTGTCCATTTTTCCTATTGGGATCCCTTGAAAATGGGGTTTTCCCCTATGGGGTCCACAGTGATGCCTATATCTTCCCCAATTCTCATCCGATTCTCAAGCGGAGTACCTTAAACGATTTCTGGATCAATGCTCCGCCATTCTGCATCAAAATCCTGAGACAAAATATTTTTTAGATTTTTTGTCCATTTTTTGTGATGATCCCTTGAAAATGGGGTCTTCCCCTATGGGGTCCACAGTGATGCCTATATCTTCCCCAATTCTCATCCGATTCTCAAGCGGAGTACCTTAAACGATTTCTGGATCGATTCTCCCCCATTCTGCATCAAAATCCTGAGTCAAAATATTTTTTAGATTTTTTGTCCATTTTTTGTGATGATCCCTTAAAAATGGGGTTTTCCCCTATGGGGTTCACAGTGATGGCTATATCTTCGCCAATTCTCATCCGATTCTCAAGCGGAGTACCTTAAATAATTTCTGAATCGATTCTCCGCCATTCTGCATCAAAATCCTGTTACAAAATATTTTTTAGATTTTTTGTCCATTTTTCCTATTGGGATCCCTTGAAAATGGGGTTTTCCCCTATGGGGTCCACAGTGATGCCTATATCTTCGCCAATTCTCATCCGATTCTCAAGCGGAGTACCTTAAATGATTTCTGGATCGATTCTCCCCCATTCTGCATCAAAATCCTGAGACAAAATATTTTTTAGATTTTTTGTCCATTTTTCGTGATGATCCCTTAAAAATGGGGTTTTCCCTTATGGGGTCCACAGTGATGGCTATATCTTCGCCAATTCGCATCCGATTCTCAAGCGGAGTACCTTAAATGATTTCTGAATCGATTCTCCGCCATTCTGCATCAAAATCCTGAGACAAAATATTTTTTCGATTTTTTGTCCATTTTTCCTATTGGGATCCCTTGAAAATGGGGTTTTCCCCTATGGGGTCCACAGTGATGCCTATATCTTCCCCAATTCTCATTCGAT